TGGAGCTGCGCAGCCTTCCTCTTGCAGACACTGCATGAACATTTCAGCAAAAACTCGCTGTGCGTATCTGCCTTTACCCACCTTGCTGTGGTTCGCTTGTTGGAGAGAAAGCAGAACTGGAGCTGTGGCAGCAGAGCCAGCACTGGATATGCCCAGACTCTTTTGCTTGGTTCCACTTTTCTCAGAGAACATCTGTATCCAGCTGTGTGTCTTGAATGGTTTTCCTCTGCTCTTGCACTCGTCTCTTCAGCTTTTCTCCCTACCATGCAGGAACTGGCAAAGCTTCAAAAACTCCAAGATGTGATGCTGAAGGAATTGGGTCTTCAAAAAAGTTCTCCTAAGTTGTTCTCCTAGAGAGCTGTTCTCCTAAGAACACTCATATTTGGTTGACTCAGGAAACAGTCTGCTTGCAGCAAAATTGCACAAATGAGGCTCATTTCATGCTTCAGACTTACCAAGATAACCCTCAACAACTCCATCCCCTGGGAACTTTCGCTGAAAAGCCAGCAGCAGCAGTGCAGCTACACCCCAGGCACCTCTGGACCCCCAAGATGGATCCCCAGGATGCCAGATAAACCAGAGGTTTTTCTAGATATGCTCCTGAAATTGAGATGTTAATCAAAATTAGTCTGTCTCTGGGACTGGCATGCATTGTTCTCCCGGGGCGGGGGGGGGGGGGGAGAAGGGATTTTTGAGTAAGCCATCAAAATATTTCCTTAGTAAGACCACAAAAAGCCCACAGATGTAATCAGAGCAGACTTCCCTGGTGTGTGAAGATGTTGATGTAAGTTTACTTTGGAGACGTGGTCATCTCATGTTGCCTGTGCAACAGCACCTTCAGCTTCTGCAGTCAACTCTGCTTGTGTCCTTATTAGGATGAGGTTTTCTTGTTGGTGTCATGCACCCAGTCATTACTCTGTGATGCTCTTGAGCATTCTGACAGCTCTTTCTGAGCCAGAGGTGGAGGGCAGGAGGTGGTCTACAGCTCAAGCCACCTTGGGCTCTCACAGCAGGTAGTGCTGCTCCCCCGGGGTCTCTGGAGAAGCCCAAACCTTTTCCTCCCCCCCAGACCATCTTCTACTAGAGAAAGACCACTGCTGGGGGTGCCACAGTCCCTGACTGGTCTCCAGAGCACAGCTGGTGTTTCAGGCTGCACTGTGTGTTGGCTCTGGTTGAGTCCTGCTGTCCCATGCTGGGTCACAAGCGCTTTACATGACCACCCAGCCATGACATCCCTACTTCTCCTGCTTTGAATGCTCCTCTGGCAAGTGCAAAGTCCTTGCAAGTGCCCCCTTCACCCCAGCAAACCATCGCTTGTAGAAAAGAATTTGTCTTCAAGGTAAATATCTTTTCAAGCAAAGTCAGAGGCTTCCACAGGACAGTTATTATTCTTGTACATCACAGAAAATGGGTTTTTAATGGAAAAAAAAAAGCCACAAAACAAGCCAAGATCCCTCAAAATCTTGAGTGTTCTGCGACACCAGTCACACCAATTCTTAATACATCCAAGACATTATGCAATAGATCACACCCACCGGGTTGCCAGGAATCCATCATCGCATACAAGAGATCTGCACTGATGAGATCCTTCTTGATCCAACAGTCACCAAGCAATTGTACTGACTTCTTCATAAAATAAAAGCAGGCTGACAGATTCTGGCCAAGTAGCACCATATTTGGTTAGTGCCACCAAACCCCCAAGGTCTGACAGAAGACCAGCCCCCAACAAGGCTGCTTCATGGGGCCAGCTACTTGCAAAAGGAAAAAAAACCCACAACAAAAACCAGAAATGGTCACTCATCTGCTTCCCCTCAGCCCAGCTTTATACCACACAATTCCTCAGAAGCATCAGCTGGAGTTCTCCCCCTTGAAGTGGACACCACATGCTGCCCATCCACTCCTTTTCCTCTCACTCAGCCTTAAGATCATACCAAATGTCCCCAAGGATACTTTGTCCCCTTTTCTAAACCTTGTGCCAACCCTTCAGAGCAAACTCAGGAGCCTGTGGCCAGGCAGATCCCACAAAAATGTTTAATTTTTTCTTTGAGAGAGAAAAGTGTTCCTGCACCTTCTCAGCAGGATAAAAAAGTGCACCTGAGCGTGGTGCCACCACCCTCTAGATCCACCCACAACTCAGTGGCCATCAGAGCCCATGAAATCAGCTCCGGTTGTCATGCAACTCTGAAGAAACATTTTAGGGACTCCACTGGAAGTCCTCCAGTTTTATTTAGATAAAAATCCTGGACAATTCAGAGCACTGAAAAGCCACAATTGTTTTTTAATGAGTAATGCAGACATTTATAGTTATGTGCTCAAAAAACCCCAGCCTGGCTGGCATCGTGCTTTGGGTGAACGCATTATTTTAGTAATAAGCTGTATTAAAGGAATTTTGCAGTGACTACGATTGCTCTTCATCATATCCACAAGCATGATGCGAGGAAAGGACAGAAGCTCAAGATTGATTTTGACTTGGAAGGCAGAATTCTTCAAACCTGCACAAGGGAAAGGAGATTGACATCAGCCACTCTGTTCATACTTTCACCTGTAATTAATTTAGGAAAAAAAGTGTTTTCCACAAATGAAATCTGACTGCAGAGTCCCAGCTGCAGCAGACCCACCTTCCAATTATATTTAGATAAAAATCCTGCAGAAGCTGCTTTTCCATCCCCTCCTCAGTGGACGTTCAGAGTTGAACAAGCACTCCTCTGCCAAGATGATCCTTGCTCTCTACCTCAAGCACCAGCTGCACAGATGTTCTCCCTTTATCCTGCTCTTAACTCCTCCACCCTAGCTCAGTAAATCCTTGTCCCCAGACAAAAGTCACCAAAGTCCCAGCTCCAACCCACATCTCTCTTCCAGCAGAACCCATGTACAGGCCATGGAGGACCATACGCTGGAGCAGAGAAGTTGAGCCTGAGGGCCAAGTGTGACTAAAAGTGTGACCCTGAGCCAGAGCGGGGAGTGGACCCCCAGAATGGGGGGTGAGTCTGCAGCCCATGGATGTCCCCATGCCAGAGCCGGGAGCTGAGCCCAAAGAGATCCGTGACTCCACGGGAAGCTCGGGTTGGAACATCTTGCTCCTGGACTTCGATGCCAGGAAGAGCAGCTGAGGTGACCTGACTGAACCCCCATTCCCTGTCCCCTGTGCTGCTGGGGGAGAAGGTAGAGAAATGGGGAGCAAAGTGATTGGAGCCCGGGAAGAAGGGAGGGGTGGGGGGAAGGTGTTGTAAGATGTGGTTGTTTTGTCTACTCAGATGATTTGCAACAAATTTAATTGGTTTTTCTTCCCCAAGTTGAGTCTGTTTTGCCCATGACCATAACTGGTGAGTGAGCCCTCCCTGTCCTTCATTCATATGGAAAAACTAGAATTTTTCCACACAGAGGGGGAGTGAATGCACTGTTGTCCTTTCCCTTAGACAATGAGTAGTTTCCTCAGATACTTATCCTGTGTCCCCTTTGTTGTGTCTCCCATCCCATCTCACCAGGTTGGGGGAGTGAATGCAGGACCTCATGGTCCCACTGTGGGTCAAACCACCACACACGGGAAGTCTGGAGATCTTTAGAGGAAGAGCAGCATTAGACAGTGACAAGCAAAGGGCTCGGATCCATCTACATCTTCACAAGAAGAAAGACCCAAGAGAGTTTTTCTGATTTACAAAGTTTGACTCATGATTCTGTCTAGAAGTCATCAGTAATATTTTATGGTCCAATGTGGAGGGCATTTCAAGTGATGTCTTGTCAAAGCTTGTCCTGGCACAGTTAACAATTATCCAGCCTCCACCAGGGTACATAACTAAGATGTTTCAACCAGCACTGCAACTAGGTCAGTTAGGTCACGTATCTTCAGTTTTCTTTTTCCTATCAAGGTTTACACTAGTATTTACCTGATTGCTAAATCCAGATCAGTTATGCCCAGATAGTTTGAGGAACCTGGAGCACTCAGACTGTGGGACACCGTTGAACCAAGACTGCTTCTGGTCTGGCAGCATCTGTGCCTCATAGATCCCGTTACCGACCCGAACCGCTAACTGCCACAGCGTTAACCAGCCTGTCCTCCCCCAAGTCATGGGGATTCCCAAATATGGTGACTTCCTACAGAAGATAGCACCATGGGGTCTGGAGAAGCACTGAAGGACCTGTGACAACTCCGAACGATATCTAGCAGACACACCAAACACATGCAGGGAAGTTTTGCTCCAAGGGGCTCCTTTCTTTTTTGCAAAGGAGACTCTTGTAGACAAAGTATGGCTGAGAACTTGCTAAAAGAGTGGGTAGAAAGGGTGTGGAACAGCCCCACTCCCATACAGCAGCAAGACTACATATATTGCTCTGTATGCGAAAGACATGGACCTGCTGAGGAAGCCACAAAAATGATCAGAGGGGTGGAACACCTCTCCTGTGAAGAAAGGCTGAGAGAGCTGGGTTTGGTCAGCCTGGAGAAGAGAAGTCTCCGGGGAGACGTTATTGTGGCCTTTTAATACTTGAGGGGCCTGTAAGGAAGATGGGGACAGACTTTTTAGCAGGGTCCATAGTGATGGGACAAGGGAAAATGGTTTTAAACTAAAAGAGGGGAGATTTAGACTAGATGTAAGGAAGAAATTTCTTACACTGAGGGTA